GTCTGTGCCTCCACACCTCGACTGCGGGTCACTGCGGAAGTCTTGCTTGAACACTTCCGACAGGGAGACTTTTTGCCACAAGTCTCCGATGTGATGCAGGAAATCTTAGAGTGGGTTTGTCAGACTGACATTGTTGAGTGGATTGTTCCGGAACCTGATTACGTCGAGCCGGAAACGTGCACTTTCCGAGACGGCAATCTCTTTTTTGACACTTTGGAGGTCTCCCATCTCACCTTCACTGCTGCTCGACAGCCGCATGCAGAGACAACTTGGGTTCTTGTAGGGCCTGGGCCCTGGTGTGACGTGCAGGCTGCCGGTCTGCGCGGCTGCGTCGCCTACACGCACCAAGAGTGCCTGGAATCCTTGTCTGGAGGCGTATGTCCTTCGTTCTTTGAGGGCCCTTATGCGAACACGGCGTTTGTCATCCACCTGGGAGACTGGAGTGGATTCTCCAGTTCTCCTTGTGTTGACTCCCCTCCGTCGCGTCATCATGCAGCCCTCGCCAGGGAAACTCTCCTTGGTGATCTCGTCAGGCTCTCCCTCCGACTTTGGAACGGCGGTGTCCCTGCCACCCTGGTTTTCCGGCCTTCCTCCCGTCAGCATCTTGTGCCTCTCCTCGAGATTGGTTGTCTCCGTACAGGGCAGCGACAAGGGGACGCTTTCTTGAGGAACAGTTGGCACGGATGGTGAGCCTTGACTTCCTTGTTTCACTTTAATTAGGTGCTCAAAGGGCTGCAACCGACTCGGATTCGTTGCCCGAAAGACGTGAAAGACGTGACGTGTGTGGGAAAGGGCAAGAGCGAGAGAGAGTAGCATTTGCAGAGGGGGGTGCATTGCCCTTCTCTTGACTGTGTGGAAGAAGTGGCATTTGCAGTAGCTGCAAAGTAGCGTGTCCAAAACATCGGCTGGGTCCATCGAGTTGAACTGTGAAGAGGCGGGCCTACGACGAGCTTGGCAAGGTCTGTGTGCTCGCTGCGCGGTGACACCCTGAAGAGAGCCTTTGCCATGCAGCTTGCAGAAGGACACCGCCGCGGCGAACCTCCCGAAGATCGAGCAGGGGCCTTCGAACACCTTCGAGGAGACATGCACAAAGATGTGACGTACGGTCGCGCAGACAGGCCTGTTGTGTTCTTCGCAGCACTCTTCGGCACACACCACTTCGAACCGCCTGTGACCCAGCACCATGAAAAGTGAATCATTGATTTTGTGTGCCGTGGCCTTCTTGTGCGTTGCAGTACTGTCAACCTCGTCACCAGCAGGTTCGTTGGTCGGCCGCGCCTGGCGCAAGACATCGACATGGATTTGCAGCCGGAACCTTGTCAGTTTAGGTCAGATACCGTCACCGTGATCCTGAGCAACTTGAAAGCCCGAAGTGGCCTTGCATGGCGGCTCACGATTCTTGATGCTCCATAAGACTGGTCGGGAGTGCAATATTTCACACTTGTTTCGAGCACCCTCCCTACTCCTCGACATCACCGCCTCAGGCTGATGATGCGCGACATCATTGCTGAAGACGAGGAGAGTGGACAGATTGATGCATTGAAGGCCAGCACCGGGGACACGCAGAAGCAGCAGCACCTTTTAACGTTTTTGCACAGGTCAGCCGAGCCCACAAGCGAATGCTGGTGCGCCCTGCTTTTTCATTGAGGACAGCTTGGGACAGGGTGCCATGCATGCGGCAGGCCTTGGAGCGACGGAGGCAGGTGCAGTGCGCCGTGAACTTGGCCAGCCGCAAGGGGCCCAGCCTGCCCGGGCTTCTGCTCTGCACTGCTCTGCACTGCTCTGCACTGCTCTGCTTCACGCCTTCGGTGGTCCGGATCCGTTCTTATGCTCAATTAAGGCCTTGATGCTCACCAAGACGAGGCCACCGGGTCGCATCCTGGACCCCTGGAAAGCTCGACTCTCTCAGGGCTGGGAGGAAGCACAGCGGGCAGAAGCGAAGCGCCTCTCGCAGGCCGGGAAGGGGACACCAGGAGAATCAGCCGCGCCCTGTCTGCCCTGTCTCTTCTCTTCCTTTTGCAGGTCCCTTCCGGCCCCGAGATGCTGTACCTCATCGGCTGGCTTTATGTCAACGGTGCCGAGCAGTGTCTCGGCACCTACAGTGCTGAGTTATGAAGGCCGAGGGAGCTGTCAGAGGCACATCAAGGAACCCGAGCATCTGAACTCCGAATTTGTGCCCTCTGTCGCCTTTTGTCTCCGTCTCCTGTCTTACTCCTCGGCGGCATTCCCGAATTTAGCATTTCGATAAGGTGGCTCGCCGGCAGCGCTGCGGCACGCCTCGTGGCGAAGATGCAGGCGAAGGCCCGCTGGGCTCCAGGACCATATCCGCCGTACCATCTCCCTCCCGCTCTCTCTCTCTCTCTCGTTTTCTCTTGCTACTCCTCCCTGGCTGTCTCCTCTTTGGGAGGCGCACCTGATGAAATCGAAGGGAGAGCTTGCAGCATCTGCTGGCCCCAGCCTTTGCTCCTCCTCGAGCCTCCAAGATGCCTCCATTGTCCTGACAAGCTGAGGGCGCACAGCATTCACCGTGAACAGCATCATGAAAACAGCAGAAAGGTACAGCGTGATCGGAGCCTTGCTTCCCAAGTTCCTTGCTTGCACGAGTGGCCAGGAAGAAGACGAAGTCGAGCGCTTACTCAAAAGAAGAGCGCGGTGAAAGCAGTTCTCAGAGCACTGAGGCAGAGCGTGCAGAGGGAAGCAAAAGAGAAGGAGGATGGGAAGGAGAAGGCGGAGAAGGAGGAGAAGGAGGAGAAGGAGGAGAAAGCAGCGGCAGCGCCGGACGCAGCGACCACGAGCGCCTTTGGACCAGGCCAGGCGCTGGTAAAGTGGTAAAGTGCGTTCGGCTTTGCGACTCCGACTTACGGTTGCGCCTTCGACCAAGGCGAAGCTCCTTGGGGCGCCAAGGCCAAAGCGGAGACAGAGGAAGGGATGCGGAGCTGTCAAGACGCTCAAGAGGCGGAGCGCTTTGCTCACGCATGTTCTTTTAGCCGCACTTTATGGGAGCATCAGGGGAACAGCTCCCCAAGCCATGCTCCCGCAGAAGGCACGGCTGGGACAACTGGGACGGCTGGGGCTGGCAAGCGGTGCAGGCGCTTGAGACTTCGTGAGTCAGGTCGAGGGAAGCTTGGCTCCGCAGAGGAGGGCGGCGCTTGCAGGGCTCCCGGCTTCTGCACAACTCCCATCGCAGTGTTTGCAGGACATCCTCAGCCCTGGAACCATCGTGGTGCTCTGCAACCTCAGGAGACGACGTGTGCCATCCTGTGCCAGTGGGTCAGTGCAGGATAGTGTAGGCAAGCGTCTTCGCAGAGGGCTTGCGCGGTAAGGACCAACGCAGAGTTGAACGACGAGGCATGTCTTGCAAGCGCGAAGTCGGAAGGCTTCGTGTTCGCTTCTAGGTTGGCGTCATCGAAGAGTTTGACCAGTCTTCCGGGCGCTACGTTGTCCACTTCCTGTCGGTAGGGCCCCGTGAGTGGCCGGAGCTGAGTCAACTGAGTCTGCTTCTGCTTCTGCTCGTTTAAGGATGGCTTGGAGCCTCGCAGACTTCGAGCCGAGAATCTCTTGATCTTGGAGGAGCCGTCGCTCGTCGCTTTGCGCCTCTTCTCTTCGATGCGTCGGGCAGCTAGGACTCCGCGAGCCGCGGCCACGCCGACAGCAAGGACTCCACTGGAGGCAGATCTGGAAAGCCGGCCGCAGAGCCGCAGAGCAGCCGCAGCCAGTGCCATGCAGGCTCTGCATCGGGCGAAGACCGAAAGTCAGCTCCAAGGGCCGAGGTGTCGCGGATTTTCTATGCATGGGCTCTCTCAACCTCCCCCGCGGCCATGAAAGGACACTTCAGATGCCCACTGGGCGCCAGGACGGGCCAATAAAAGCCATTCTCACCAGTGTCATCAGAGAGCTCGTATCAGGCGGAGACGAAGCTGAAGTCGCAGAAGCCTTCAAGGTGGCATTCATGTTCAAATTGTGGATTCGGCTTGATTCTTTGCCAGCGCTCCCATGCTCTTTCTCACGCTGTTTGTGTCCCTCTGGCTCTCTCTGTCCGTCTCTGTCTGGCTCCCTCTGTCTCTGTCCGTCTGTGTCTGTATCTGCTTGTCATTGTCTCTGTCGGTATGTGTCCGCTGTCACTCTGCATCTTTTTCATGTCACTCTCTCGCGCCCTCTGTACATATATATATATATGTATATCTAGAGTTATACAGAGGATAGCTATAGCTATATATATATATATACATATATATATATATATGTATATGTGTTTTTGCCTCCCCCCCCTTAAAAGATCCACGCTTTTACCTGTTTCTTCTGCTTAGCCGCCCTTAGGACTCGAAAACCATAATATTCTTATGAATCCCCTGGAGTCTGGGCCAAGACGATGGCAGAAAAAACCACCAAGACCCGGCAGTACGACACGGCCCAAAGGGAGGCAGAAAAAAACCAGCAGAAACCGGCAACACGACTGCAGCCCCTGCCCTGTACACCCATCCATGCGTCCCTCCATCCCTCCCTCCATCCCTCCATCCTTCCATCCCCCTCCCTCCATCCCTCCATGCCTCCATCCTTCCATCCATCATTCCATCCTTCCATCCATCCATCTTTCCATCTATCCATCCATCCATCCAT